TAGCTATGACTGTAGTGGCACATGCCTGGAATGTGGCCAGGACTTGAGATCTGACTGTTAAGGGCTCTGCAGCACTTGAAGGTACTTCCTAAACACACAGTGCTCCTTATTGGTTTTCTAGTATTTTTGTTTGCTTAAAGCAACAGAAAAAAATATTTATAATATCAAAAAAAAGTACTTGAGAGGTTGGAGAGAAGTCTCAGTGCTTAAGAGCACCTGTTGCTTTTCCAGAGGACATGGGTTCAATTCCCAGCACCCACGGAGTGGCTCGTAAGCATCTTTAACTCCAATACCAGGGGATTCAAGACCTTCTTCTGATCTCTGTGGACACCAGACATTCACATAGTACACGAACACACATGCAGGCAAAGCACCTATACATATAACATACAGTATAAATGTTTTTTAAAAAATAATTGAGATCAAGCATGGAGTCTCTTGTATAATAAGTGGGCAAACACTCTTCAGTTACATCTGAGCCTCTGCTACCTTTTGATATAATTCTTTTTTCAAGAGACAGAAGTTATGGGGCTAGAGAAACAGCTCAGTTGGTCAGGTGTTTACTGATCAAGTCTGAGAAACTGAGTTTGATCTACAGCACCCCCCTAAAAAATCCAGGTGTATTGGCTAGGTTTGTGTCAACTTGACACAAACCATAGTCATCTAAGATCAGGGAACCTCTATTGAGAAAATGCTTCCATAAGATCTGGCTATGGACTAGCCTAGCCTATAGAGCATTTTCTTAATTAGTGATTAATGAGGGCAGACCTAGCCCATTGCGGGTGATGCCACCCCTGGGATGGTAGTCCGGGATTCTATAAGGAAGCAGGTTAAGCAGCCACGTGGAGTAAGCTAGTAAGAAGCACCCCTCTGTGGCCTCTGCATCAGCTCCTACCTCCAGGTTCCTGACCCGTTTGAGTTCCTGCCCTGACTTCCTTTGATGATGAACAGTGATGTGGACATGTAAGCTGAATAAACTCTTTCCTTCCCAACTTGTTTTTGTCGTGGTGTTTTGTTACAGCAATCGACACTCTAACTAAGAGACCAGGTATGGTGGCATGTGCTTTTATCCCAGTACCGGAGAAGTAGAAACGGGTGGATCCCTGCCACCTCAGGCCAATGAGAAACCCTGCTATTTTATTTGCACCTTCTTTGGTTGTTTTTCGGTTTTTTGAGGCAGGGTTTCTTTGTAAAGCCTTGGCTGTCCTAAAACTAACTCTGTAAATCAGACTGGCCTTGAACTCACAGAGATCCAACTGCCTCTGCCTCCTGAGTGCTGGCTGGGATTAAAGGTGTGTGCCACCATCGCCCAGTAATTTTCTTTTTAATAATAAACTTTTTAAAAAAAAATGTGACCAACACCTGAGGAATGATACTGTAGTCGGCCTCTGGCCTAGACACACACACACACATGCATATTGGTCACATATATGCAACTACACACATACTACACACTGTCTCCACCTCCCCAGTGCTGAGGATACAGGGACTATGCCCAAGTTCTAGTCTCCTTTCCGTTGCTATGATAAAATGCGAGCTGAAAGCAACCTGGGGAGGACATTTTCCCCTATACTTCCACATCACAGTTCATCATTGAGGGACGTCAGGACAGGGACTCCAGACGGAACCTGGAGGCAGAAACCGAAGCAGAACCACAGAGGAATGTTGCTTATTCGCTTCCTCTCCATGATTCACTCAGCTGCTTTCTTATTAAACCTAGGAACATCTGCCCAGAAGTGGCACCGCCCGGAGTGGGCTGGGCCTTCCTCCCATATCACCACTAAGCAAATATGCCATATAGTTTTGCCTACAGGCCAATCTGATGTAGGCATTTTCTAAATTGAGATTCCCTCTTCTCAGATGACTCTAGTTTGTGTCAAGTTGGTGAAAACTATCACAGCCACCATGTCCGGAATTTTTTAGATGGGTTCTGCCGTTTGAACTTGGGTCTTCATTCTTTCAAGGTAAGCACTTTAACAGCTGAACTCTCTCCACCCCAACTTTTTTTTTTTTTTTTTTTTTTTTTTTTTTTTTTTTTTTTTTTTTTTTTTTTTTTTTTTTTTTTTTTTTTTTTTTTTTTTTTGGTTTTTCGAGACAGGGTTTCTCTGTGGCTTTGGAGCCTGTCCTGGAACTAGCTCTGTAGACCAGGCTGGTCTCGAACTCACAGAGATCTGCCTGCCTCTGCCTCCCGAGTGCTGGGATTAAAGGCGTGCGCCACCATCGCCCGGCTTCCACCCCAACTTTTAAAACTTTTAAAGAATCCCATGCTATAAGCTAATCTTGCAACTATATGTTTATGGTATTTTAACTGGAACTCTATAACATGGATGGATGTATCTATAGCTCAACTGAAAGTGCTTTGTAGTGCTGATAATATAATATGCTGAGATAACCTTTAAAGTGGAATTGACTGGGTATGTTTCACAATAATCAAACCAATTAATGGCTAAGTCTATGGACAACAGAAAAAGAACAGGAGTTACCAACTGAACCCTTAAACAGGTTTTTGCTTGTTTAAAGCAGGGAATATTGCTCAGTTGCTAAAGTGCTTGCCTAGCATCAATCCCTGGGTTCCATCCCAGAATAAACTGGGCGTGGTGACACAAGCATGTAATCCCAGCACTTGGAAGGTGGAGGCAGGAGAACTGCAATGGGTTTGACACCAGCTTGGGCTACATAGTGACCTTATCTTAGAAAACGTAAAAAAAAAAAAAAAAACCAAAAGCTTTTAAGTAGTACTATTGAAGTCTAAAGGAGATGCAACTTAATAACTTTGACATATGTATATACCTGTGACCATCAATGCAATCAACAGAGACACGTCCATCTCCCTTAGAAGGTTATATAGGCCCTCTCTAGTAACCATTAATTGGCAGATAGCCATGTCCTCACACTGGGGATAAAAACATTGTGGATGACGTCGTCAGCAGGGGGAAAAGATCCAACCAAGTTAAAAGATTTGTCTTTCTTTGGTCTCCTCAGGCACTGTAGGCATGTGGTGAGCATAAAACAAAAATAAAGGAAAAATACTTACTAAAAATACATTTGGGATTATAGTATCAAATATTATACATTGGGCAGTAATGACTGACTAACACAGATGACCACCTGAAATCAATAAAAAAGAATATAACATACATCAAATAGCATTGATCCGCACAGACAGTTATACATTATTACAAGATGATAAATAAAATGCTTAAAAATAAATGGTATCAAGCCAGGAATGGTGATGTACAATTTAATACTTGTGCTAAGGAGGCAGAGGCAGTTGGATCTCTGAGCTCAAGGCCAGCCTGGTCTATAGAGTTCCAGAACAACCAGGGCTATGCAGAGAAACTTTGTCTCAGGAAGAAAAAAGAAAGGAAGGAAGGAAGAAAGGATGGACGGATGGTTATCATTCAATAATTTTCAGTGAAATTAGTGTTTTTCTCTCCACAATATTATGTGATGCCCATACATTTTAAAACAATCTGAACCATATTTAGTCAACTCAGTGTTGAAGAGGCTCAAACTTGGATTTTTTTTTTAAAAACCTTTCAGTCAGGTTCTCTGGTCTATATGTTGCCTGGAATATAAATATTGACGTCATACTTCAAGCCCCACTGACTGTTCCTGTCTCCTTTGCTCACTACTTACCATACAGTGGCTTCAGCCTGCAGTTAGAATCAAAGCTGCTCTTGTTTCTAGGTCTTTCTGGGCTTGATACAACTGAGCCCTCCACTCCCTCTCCAGTCTAATGCAAGACTTCTCCAGGCAACATATTTCCCAGCAACAGAGATTCCACTCTGTTCTAACAGCCAAGCTCCTCCCTACTGCAGGTTCTCTGCACAATCTCTTTGCTTTACTCAATTCTCCAGGGCCTTTCTCCCTTTACTCCCTTTCTTCCTGAGCTTCAGATGGGCATATGTTTGCCCCCTCTGCTGTCTGTTATTTTCTACCCAGAATTCTTCCTGTAACCTTCATGCTTCTTCTTCAAGTGTGAAGTATACTTGTTTTGTGTTGCCCTTCCCCCACCAGACTGCAAGTCCCTGAAAGCAGACCTTTTCTGGTTCCCTGACCATTGTGTCCCCTCTGCTGGGTTTTCCGACAACGTTGTCGGAATGAATGAATGAATGAATGAATGAGTACAGAGGTATAAAACAAAACCATAATCTCGGTTAGTAAAAAGGTGAAGCCTGTTTTGCATAGATTAACTTGAACCGAGGGGGAAATTTTAAGGTCTTATTTCTTTCTTCATTTGTCCTTGGAATAATAGCTAACATTATTCAATATTTTTAAGCATACACTATAGCATTTCTGAGTAACCCTGTAGAGGTAATCAACCTTTATTATCCTCATTTTTCAAAGGCAGCCTGCCAATAACCATTAACGGTGGAGCCGTAGACCGGTTTAAGTAGGCCATATCCAATTAATCAATGTAATGGACACCCCTTCAGTCAACAATAGGTTTTTTATCAAGGCGCTTTTCAGAGAACCCCTCTGAATTTCCCCTCTTCCCTGACCTTCTACCTAGGGACTGAAAGCTACTGGTGGTTGCTAACCGCTCAGGGGGTTTCCTGCAGAATCCGAGTGACTTTGGTGGGCGGTTTTCAGCTCAGACCGCTGCACCAAGCTCTTGCAGGCAAGGACTGTGCAGTGCAGGGGAGGAAGGAAGAAACACGTTGGCCAGAGCTAGATCCTTGTGACTTGATGGTGAAAGAGGAAGGTACAGTACTCCTTGTTCACACTCGCCAGGGGTTCGGGATCTCCCTACCAGAAGGGGAACCACGGCGCGTTTCCCCAACTACACGCTGCGTCACCAGCCAGCCCGGGCCCGCCCCGCCTCCGGACCCGCCCACTTGCGGGGGTCCTCCTTAGCCCCCTCCTCCACGACCCACCCCCTTAGCCGGCCCTCTCCTGCCCCTCGGGTCAGACTCGGCCTGTGATTGGTCTGCGAGGCCACAGCCCCCGCCTCCTTGCCTTTTCCGTCACTCCCAAGATGGCGCCGGCCGCGGCGGGTTTGGCGGCTGGCGCTGTGGAAGGAGGCGGAGGCAGTGGCGACCGCGCGGGGAGGGGGAGTCCCGTCTGACTGAGACGGCAGGGCGGAGCGCCGGGGCCAGGGGATGAGCTAAGCGGGCTGCTAGTGCCGCGGCATTCAGCCCCCTCGTGTCCCGCCCGCCGCGCGTGAACGCATCGGACCCCGCGCTTCGGGCTCTCCCCGGCGCTCGCGCGGGGGTCGGCGGGGAGGTGAGTGGCGGGGGCGGCGTCGTGGGCATCGGTGGCGTGGGGAGCTGTCACGGCCCTGGGGAGCTGACTGGCAAGGGGGACGGCGAGCAGGGCGATAGGACTCGGAGGGCCGCTAGGCGCGGGCAGCTGCTTGGCAGGGCTCCGGCCGTCCGGGATAGCGTTCGCGCGCCTCCGTGTGGGTACGCGCGCGGGGCTCTGGGGTCTCCTTCCAGATTGGCCATTCAGGGCTGGCCTGGGGCTGTTGTTGTGGGGGTGATGGGGCGGGGGCGGACCAGGGGGGAGGTCCTGAAACTGGGATTTTTGACAAGCCCGTTACGTAAGGTGGCATCCCGGAATCCCACCTGCTCCAGGTTTCAGACCGCGGCGGGGGCTGCTTTCCCGCGGCTGCTCAGCTGCTCAGTCCAGATGCCGGGGCCCAACCGGGGCTCAGGTTCCACGTGAGCCCGGCCAGCGTCCAAGTTGTACAGTTTTTTTTTTTCTTTACTGTGTGTGTGTGCAATTCTTGGTCATCACCACTCCTTTTGAAGTTTATCTCTTTCTGGGGGAGAAAAGAGAAGGAGCAAAAAAAAAAAAAAAAAAAAAGCTTGTGACCTAAAATTGGGTCGCAGAGATATCTCTTCGTTATGGTGCTTTTAAATGACAGGACGTACTGAGAAATTTGGCTGTTGTTGCTCCAGTGTGCTTTTCATTCAGACGTATGGTTGGCCTCGGAGCCATAGAGAGGGTTTTTATTTGTCTTACAGGACAGTTATTTCTTGTTTGCAAAGCGGGGCAGGCATTCCATCAACAGGCGTGTATTTATTTGAGGGGAAAGCGGGTGTCAGCCAGCCAGAGACACGGGAGGGCAGAAATTGTGTCACACTGTGGATATATTATTCTTTTAAATGTATTGGACATGAATGAAAAGGATAGCCCAGGCGTAAAAGAAACAGTATTACACGATTACAAGCTTTTGTTTAGTGTATATACACAGCCTCGTTCTATTTTCTGCCTTTCCCATTCTGCCTCCTCTTTCCTTGGGGGAAGGAGGTGGAGACACCTGTAAACATCGTAGCCCAGGTTACACTAAGCTGTCGTAGTGCATTTGAGATAAAAAGGAGTCTCTGGAGGACCAAAGATTGGTTAATAAGTAAGGATTCTTGGACAAGTTGTTCAGTTTATGTTTGTAGTAGTTCTGGATACAGCTTCTGAAAAAAAGTGAATAGAATTTCTGATCTATTTGATTTCTAATTGAACGTAAAATAAGATTGTATTTGATTTCTTTTATGGGGACTTTGTTTTGTTGGGGGAGACATTTGAGGCAGCTTTTCATTTTCACAAACTCGCTTTGAACTGCAGCTCCCAGCAAGAGTCTAGAATAAGATATAGTTACCATCATCATTCTATATGTGTTACATAATTCTTTTTTTCCGAATGATTAAACACAGACCTACTTCACTGCGGAATTTTAAAAGAATGTGCTTGTGAAAGAAGTCAATTGATTTTGACACCAGCCTAATATTGGTAATAAAAAGGAGCAAATTTTGGCTTACGTGCCTGGGCTATCCTTTTCATTCATGTCCAATACATTTAAAAGCTTACGCGCACAAGTTTACATTTTTGAAGTTTGGTAAAGCAGTACAACTTATCTGTCTGTGCGAGAGAGCCAGGAACCTGGTGCTGATTTGACCTCTTCCACGGGAATTACCACCAGTTTAAGTAGTTATTGATTCTTAAGTTTCTTGGGACTGTTGTCCCATTTCTGACAACTTGAATACTATTTAGCATAATTGGGAAGTTATATGAAGGAAGGGACAGAGTACATCATATTAATTCATTCAGAAAACAATAAACATGTAACAAAGAAGAAAACAATATTTTCTTCCTGCGTGATACAAGCTACGTTAACTTTAGTTTGTAGAATCTTAAGCCTTCCGCTTGTGGGAAGCCTAGTTTTTCATAACCATCATTAAAGATAGAGTTGATTGTTATTTTACAGGTCTTTCATTCGTGTTTACACTGGTGTCTCATAATTGTAAGTGTAAAACTTGAGTGACTCCAGCAGGAAGACCGACTTGCCATTTCTGCTTTCTCCCATGTCAGAGATTTTTCTTTTCAGGTTTCCACCCTTTCCTGCTAGAGGTAAAAGAAGGAGATACTAAAGAAAAAGTAAATCAAGTTTTCTTCCTTTTGTTCTGTTCCCTCCATCCCCAATTGGTTTTTTATTCAGTAGAATTGGTGGGGTGGAGTGAAGAGAGTCCAGCTATACTTTATTACTGTATGTCATTGATATCACTTTGGAGTCTAAAAGAGCTTTGTAAAGCTTCTGTTTGCAATACTATTTTGGCATGGAAGTTGAGAGCCTCCTGCCCAACCACATGAGTGCTGGATATATATATATATATATATATATATATATATATATATATATATATATATCACTACATTCAGCTAAATTGCTGTGCTTATAATTACAAAGTGACATTAAAGAGTTAAGAGAAAATATTGAAAATCTGAAAATCTAAAGCCTTGTGGTTCAACAAGGAAACTGTCCTCTTGTTAGCAGAATATGGTGTGTATGTGCTCTCACAGTAACAGAGACAACTGGTTATTTAGGAGAATTGTCAGAGCCAACCTTGAGTTCATTTTTATGTCTATGGGTTGCCTCTGTGCACATTAACCAGGGTTCTTTATAGTTCTAGCACTAACTGCCCTATATTGACAGTGCCACCTATTGATAATGTACTCAATTTTTTTCCTCATTACTTTATTAGTTATTAGGCAACGACACTGGGATGTTTAAGAGATATCAATATTTTGCTAGTTACTGAGGATACAAAGGTGAATAAAACATGACTTCTGCCCTCCAACCTTGCCTGAGAAGCTTTGTTTGCTTTTGTGGCCATCAGTACATGCGTCCCCTGCTTTTCCTGTCCCACTGTTAATGCTCAATAGGATCTTTTTTCCCCGGGTATTCATATCCTTTTGTAACTTTCCTAGTGGGAAACTGTTTTGGGTTTTAGACACATAAACTTTTAGAACATTTGGTTTCATGTTGAAGTGTGTTTTGTTTTGTTTTGTTTGTTTTGTTTTGGTTTTTGGTTTTTTAAGTCAGGGTTTCTCTATGTAACTTTGGAACATGTCCTGGAACTTGCTCTGTAGACCAGGCTGACCTCACAGAGATCTGCCTGCCTCTGCCTCCTGAGTGCTGGGTTAAAGGTGTGTGCCACCATGGCCCGGCTTGAGGTGTGTTTAAGTAAAACCTGAAGTATGGAGATCAGAAATTTATTTTTAGTCCTGTGATAACTTTTGTTTGATTAGTGTGTGTGTGTGTGTGTGTGTGTGTGTGTGTGTGTGTTGTGGGGGCTAGAAGTTGGCATCAGATGCCTTCCTCGGTCACTTTATTTTTTCTAAACAGGGTCTCCCAATGAACCCAGAGCCTAGCAATTGACTAGACTGTCTGACTGCTGAGCTCCTGAGATCAGCTTTTCTCTGCCATTACCCAGCATTGGGGAGACAGATCTGTGCCACTCCACCCAGTCTTTTATGTGGGTGCTAGGGTTCAAAACTCATGTCTGGGTAGTAGAGACTTTACCCAATGAACTACATCTCTAGGTCTCTTACTAGTTTTAGAGACAGTTTACCCCTTGAGCTTTCCAGCTTCTTCCCTCCTCTTCCAGACAGCTGTGATTATAGACATGGCTGTCATGCCCTACTAACTGTAAGTGCTGTTTTGGAGATGAGACATTTTTCTTTTTGAAAAGTTTTAAAAATAAACTCAGCTACCAAAATATGTAGTGCACACCCACATGCCTACATAAAATGTTGACATTTTTCATTTTTGCTTCAGCTATTATATTTAATATAAAAGAACTATGTATATCACAGTTATCACACTGAATTCTAAAAGAGCAATATAGAAACTTTATAATTTATATGAAGTTGCAATCCTTTTTGTTCCCTCCAGTTTCATTTCTCTCCATCTCCCTTCCCACTTTCTAACCCGAATAATGAATGTAGCATCACTCTGGCGCCTGATCTTTGTTTTCAGATAGGCGCGTAGATCAGGCTGGAAGGAAGAATGCCTTGACCTTGAATTCCAGATCTCACTGTCCCTCCTTCCCCAAGGCTGGAGCTCCCAGCTCTACTCTGAGTGCTGAGAACAAAGTATAATGACATTTGTATGAAGAATGTCATGATGAAACCTAATACTTTGAATGTTACCCTGAAATTTTATTAAGAAAAATAAAGTATGGATTAGGGCCATGCTTCCTTGGTTTGAATCTTTGAAAACAATTTAAAAATTGTATTCTATGAGAATGAGTGTTTTGCTGGCATGCATGACTATGCACCAAGTGCATGCCTGGTGTCTGCAGAGTCCAGAAGAGGGTGTTGGCTCCCCAGGAACTGGAGTTACAGATAGTTATAAGCCACAAAAATGAGTATTATGAACCGAACTCAGGTCCTGTACAAGGGCAGTAAGCACTCTTAAACTGCTGAGCCTTCTCTCCAGTCCCCTTGGTTTGAATCTTGACTTTACTATATATATAATGGTTTTATAGTTATTTAAAGTCTATCCCTAGTGACCTGGCGCCTGATCTTTGTTTTCAGATAGGCGCATAGATCAGGCTGGAAGGAAGAATGCCTTGACCTTGAATTCCAGATCTCACTGTCCCTCCTTCCCCAAGGCTGATCCATCAAATAGGATCAGTAGAAATGCTCATTTCATAAGGTTTTTATTAAAAATTAAGTGAGTTTATTTACATAAACTTGAAAAAAAGCTTGGTAGTTTAACTGAGAATGGCTCCCATAGGCTCATAAATTTGAAGACTTAAACCACAGTTGGTGGAATTATTTAGGAAGGATTAGGAGGTGTAGCCTTGTTGGAGGAGGTATGTCACTGGAGGCTGGCTGTGAGGTCTCAAAAGCCCACACCTGTTGTAAGTGGAGCGGCGGGGCTGTGTCCCCAGCACCCCGGCCGCCTGCTAGCTCATGCCCGAAATAACAACACACAAACTGTA